CTGTCTAATTGTCATTTAGGGGAATTTGACTGGTACAAAATTGTCGAGTATGCCCTATGGCTTTGCATCTGCCACACCTACGCGGTCGAGGAAACTCTCCGGTAGATGGTATTCAAGATGTACTTGGACGTCCAAGACCACGCGGTTCAACTACTGGTGGCAACAAATCATTAAACAGGAGAATGTGCTCTGGAACTTCCCACTCTGTTTCATTCAGCAGAGGAAATATAGTCTCCGCATATGCTGTTCTCCAAGACTCAGTCGTATAATACAAAGAGCATAACGTTCTCGCTGCAAAGCCTCGATACATGGCCACCGCAATTGCATGCTCACATGGAAAACTCTCCAACTGAAATCTCGTACAAGTGCATGTGTTATCAGTCAATTCCACCATATATGTCGTATTACGTGCACATTGCACGGAGAAGCGGAACTCATCTAGTGCTTTCACATTCAACTTCCTCGCAACCTCTGCCGCCTTAACGAGTTTCTCCTCTTGAGCTGGGGCCAGCACGCTACTGCAACTCTGTGATGCCGCACGTCGGTCATGAAACCACTGCTGCAGCTTGTTACGAATGTTCTCAATCATTACGAGAATTGGTAACTCTTGATCCTTCTTAAACAATGCATTGAGAGACTCCGCGTTATTCGACGTCATCATATTGTATCGACGTCCTGGAAAGTATGACCACGCCCAATGTTTGATCCCCATGTTCATCAGATACTCCAACGCCGGTAATGATTTACTTCCCATCTCAAACATGAACTTATTACACTCTTAAGCACTGTAAGCTTTGGCTGCTCTCCTGAATAATGAAACGATGCATTTGCCCCGATACCTAGTTTTCAAATTACCTTGTATATGGTACATGCAATACCCGTGATGTGCCTCTGGAAAAACTTCAGTGATACCATTTATTATAGACTGTCCCCGATCGATTACAAAGGTAAGGTCTTCGATTTCCCCGATCACTTCCCTCAGTTTCGAAAAGAACCAACGCATGGACAGATCATTCTCGCTGTCGACTATGCCGAATGCAATAGGGTAAATTTGGATGTCGGCGTCTTGACATGTAGCAATAATTAATTTGCCATGATATTTAGCTTTCAGAGTTGTACCATCAACTAGAATTACGGGTCGCATTGCATTTTAAAAACCCCGAATACATTGTCCGAGAGCCATGAAGAAATACTTAAAACAATTATTGCTCCCCGTCTCAATAAAAAATGTCGTGCCAGGATTAGTTTTCCCCANTATGTGAATTAAATATAATTTATTGAATATCGTTGACGTATAAATTTATTGAATAATTTTTAATGTTATTTATGTAGGAGGGCAGTCCAGCTGATCGACGATCACCTTCGCCGAGGGTATCTCCTTCTCCCTCGTCCAGACATGTCCCCCGTGTATCGTCGACACACACTGATGATTTGTATGCCCGTCTGACTGGATTTATAGTGGAGGAGGTCGGCGCGCTACGACGAGAGTTGACGGAGAGGGTCAATGATCTGGGACGAGAGTTTACCGAGAGGGTCGACGATCTGACAGGGAATGTCGACTATCTGACACGGAAGGTCGACGATATGGGACGAGAGTTGACAGGAAGGGTTGACGATCTATCCCATGATGTTGGAATGCTACAGTCTTACGTTGTCGACCTTCAGGATGCGGTAGCAACACTTAGATGAGATTTAGCCGCTAGGCGATAGGGGGACAGAGGAGATGGTGGAGATGATCGAGATGGTGATGAAGAGGGAGGTCACCTACATTTTTGGCATGACGAGACATTAGAGTCATTCTGATTGTCTATGGAGGGGGATAGGGTGGCCCCGAGGGGGGGCGATGGGGGGAGAGGCACCGATGGGAGAGACGGAGGAGGTGGCGAAAGAGGGGGAGGCCCCGATGGGAGGGGCGAAGGAGGTGGCGACGGAGGGGGAGGCACCGATGGGAGGACGAATGAGGTGGCGACGGAGGAGATTGCCCCGATGGGAGGGGCAGATGAGGTGGCGACGGAGGAGGGGGCCCCGGAGGGTGAGAGAACGCCCATTGTGATTGAGGGTAAGAGACATGCTGTTGATGAGACGGAGCAGGTGGTCGGCAAGAGGTTGAGAGTGCCGTCACAGTATGCTGTTTCCCCCTTCATGGTTAAGGCCAAGAGGAGGACGTTCATCGATGGGACGTATCCGAACTTATTCAGAGAGGTGGACAATGTCAAGTGGAAAGCATTCGAGACGGAGTGGAGGAGAATTATCCCCGGGTAGGTATTGTATGATTTTAATAAAGCACTGTACGCTAACTCGTCTATGCTTATTTTAACATTTCCCGATTTTTTCAGAGCTACCCGCACGATAGGTAACCGAACGGTCTCGGACGCTTACAAGTGGTTCCACGATATTACGACTTTGGGAGCTTGGCTCGCCGACGATGTAAGTGAACTATTCATTTCGTGTTTT